ACTCGAGTTTGTATGTGCCGAGACAGTGTTTTTAATTCATAATCAATTGTTATAATTAAAACTACAGTATAGTCTTTCTGCCTTATGTAAGACTTTAATTTATGATAGATTTTTATAGGTATATTATAATAAATTAAAAAATAATAGTTCAACAATCTTGAACTATTAACACTACCAAAGGTATTTGAATAAAATACTGATTATCCAAAGAAATATCATTACCAAAATAATTATTTCCTTATATTAATTTGTCTGTTACTATACCACGTTGTCCACAGTAGTTATTTTATTCACATTATTTATTATTTTTTTGTTTTTAAATTATAAAAACAATTTTTATTAATTAAAAGTTATTTAAACAAGTTATATAAACAGAAAAGAAACTCTACTGAAAAAAAATTTTATTTCTATTAATTGAAATTCTAATATATTTTATAAAACAGAATATTTTGTATCAGTTTTTTGTTGTGATTAATACAATTTGTTCATTTTTTTGATTAAATGAATAGATATTTTTATTTTGGTCGTTTATTAAATGTATCTCATTATCAATGAACATTTTTTAATTGTGTTATAAGCTTGAAATTATTCTCTCGTATTAGTTTATTGGGTTTTCCAAGTTTAGTTCATGTCTTTCAAGCAAAGTATAATCATGATAACCTTTTGGAAATCAGAAAATGATTATATACCCTTCACTATTTAAAATTAAAAAAGTGCTGTTAATTTCATGGTTTAATTCCAATTTTATCCTTTATTATAATCGAATATAAGTATATGTAAAGGTAATTGTATTATCAAAAGTAGTCTTTCAGTTTTAAACAAGTAAGAGCATTAAAAGGTGTATTTTGAGGTTTGATTTAAACAAAGAATAAAAATATTAAAAATACTAATTAAAAATGAAAAAGTAAATATATTTTGAACTAAAATTATTTCTTAATATATTTAAAAATACAATTTGATGTGCGCCGATCCTTTAATTAACCATGTTACTTTTTATTACTTACAATAATGATAATTGTCGATTTTTTAAATTAAAAATATCAAAAACTTAATAATTAGTTTCACAGTTTTCTTTAAATTGCTTTTGCCCAACGAAGAGTATTCAACACAAAACAAAAAATTATTGATAAAAATATATTTCCCGTACATACACGGTGAATCCACGTCTAATATTCAGTGTTAAAAATACATTTGAATCATTATTTAAATAATAAATTTCTAAAAAATAAACATGTTTTTGATAAATTGGTGTTTTAAACTATCTGTTGTCCTATATTCAAAATTAAAAACAGTAAATGGGCATATTATCGAGATAAGTAGTGTGATTATCAACGTTATAAAAAACAAATTATATTTATTTGTTTATATTTTACACTTAGTTAGTGACAGTTAACTTTATTCTCTACAAATAATCTGATTAATACAGAAAACATGTGCAATTTTAATTTATATTTGATTGTTATTTATTTGACCACAAACTCGGGTTAAAAAGCACCAATGCTTTATTGTCTTTCGCTTTTCTATATTTAAGTTGTTATTCAAATTCAATAAACTATTTAATTGGCAATTTTTTATCACCCAACTATTTCCCGTTGTGTTCCATGGGGTAAACCCGATATTCATTCTGTATATCCTAAAATGTTACTCAATTCAACACTATTTATGAAAAAGTTAAATGTCCAATTCTATAAACAACTTTGTCGCTTGAACGCCAATTTGTCCTCTTTCTTTAATTTAACTGGTTTAAATCGGAAGTTCTCTGGATTTGAGAGTGGCAGTAACTAACTTGTTCATTTGCCGAAAAAATGAACTACCTTAAAGTTTTAAAAAATAAATCAAAATCTTAGTTAAAAGAGTTCTGTTATACATTCATTTCGACTAAGATGTCCTTGTCTCAAAACATGTACAGTTCGAAATGATCATAACCCCACCACTATAGTATTAATTAATAAATAAAACCAGACGCACTAGTTTATGCATGACCAGAAATAGAGCATACCAGTCAAACTTATTGGGCATAACCGTGTTTGGTTGTCCATTTTTCATAACGATGAAAATATCAGCACGATTCCTGAAGAGTATGGAATTTGAGTCGAAACATTTAGAAAAATCTATTAAACAATTGAATTATAAGAATAATACGCCAGTTGGTATAAATTGCCATTCTATTTTCGAGCGACTATGTGGAAATGCCAAGTATAAAAAGGGTTAAAATAATATAAAAATCGCAATGTCTCTTGGCAAGAGTATTAAGTGTTACCTTCGCAACAAACGCATTGTAAGAAAGCAAAAACACACAAGCGAACAATACATCCCAACACCCATATTTGTACCAGTGAAGTCACAAACCCCAAACTTATTCACTGAAGAAGACGACGAAGCCGACGATGAAATTAAAGCAATTTTACTTAATAAAAAATCGAAAACTCCTTTTGTCTATGTTGGGGACAAGTCGCCCATCATTATCAAAACATTTGACAATGAATTGGACCGTCATCACATAAAAGATGATAAAATAACACACAACAAATTCGCACTTTACAAATTTTAATTTCTATTATTCTGTATTTTTTATTTATTCTTGATTGGATTTAAAAATATTATAATATCCTGAATAGATATTATTTTTATTCAATTCATTTTAATCGAAATTCATTTAAAGTATTACTTGTTTAACTTATGTCACTTTTTAATAATTTGAACATTTAAAATAATCCAAGGAGTCCTCTTCGAATTTTGTTGTTGTCTTCTAATTAATTGTGAATTTTATATGGACTAAAGTTTTATCTATATTGGATAAATAACCATCTCATTACATGTTTATAAGACTTATTTACAGTAAAAGAATCTGGTTGATAATAATTGAGACTTTATAGAGTTATAAAATATACATATTGAATACACAATACTCAACTTAAAAATGCGCTGAAAAACATTAAAGTATTATATATTTATAAGATGTATTTAACCATTATATTAACACTTAAAATAACGCCCTTATTTTTGTTTTGGCCTGTTTTTACAGGGATATTAATCCAATTTTTGGTGATTTTCCTTTTTTTGACTTGTGTATAGTTTATGCACAAAATATAAACTCTAAAAAAAACGGAAATTTATTTAATAAACTCGAGATTTCCCCGATTTTTAGACCACTTGAATTTTGTTCAATGTTATTTAAAGTGTTAAAAACATTGACTAATGTTTTAAAAAAAGGTATAAAAATGTCAAAATTTGTCAATAATAAGAAAAAACAAATAGTCGAATTACGATTAACGCTTTTCTTATATTTCTTTTTCTTCTCATTTTTTCACTTCATTAAGAATAGTCCCCACGACAGATAAAATGCAAAGACAAACGCAAATGAGCATAGCCGGTATGAAAACCAAATATCTCCACAGTGGGATCTTTCCATCGGGCAATTTAATAGTTTTGTTTCTATTTTTCAAGATATCAACGTCGACGGTATTTTCCTTATCGAACGCGATATTAATTTTGTTCTCCGAACTTTTCGATGCGTTTTTATTCTCCGTGTTTTCATTTTTGACCAAGTTCTTTAAAGCCCCCAGACTGTCCAATTCTATTTCTTGTTGTCCACTTGTGTTAGTGTTGATTGTCAAAACGACATCTGAGATATCGCCTTTCTCTTCATTTCTATTTAAAGCGGTTTCGATGTCTTTACTTGAGAACTTCTGGCTTCCCTCCACGACTTTATTATAGATGATATTATCAATCACTGACAACTTCCGGAACTCAGGAGACCCAAACTTCTCCACGCGCGGCCACAACATCATGATACTCATCGGGCAGATGTAAACAACAAAGATCGAAAAGAGTGCAGAAGCGACAGAGAAGACTACACCAATGTCTGCCAAGAATGACGCAAACAGTGTTGTTAATAGTAATATGATGATCCGGATCGTTAAGATCGCAAGACGGCCATTCCACAAAGTCGTGAATTTCCACGTCTTTGGAAGGTATCTATAGATCCCAGCACACGTCGGAAACATCAAAGCGGGAAAGGACATGGTAACTACTATAATCATAAAGATTCGAGAGAGAATGATAAGCCAATCCACACTAGTACTATTCGGATTGGAAAAGTCATTTAAGACGTTAGAAGACACTTTGTCAAAGGATACATTCCCACTTATAGCCATTAAGATGTATAACGATGCACATGTAACTACTGACACTAAAGACGCCCCTTGCAATGATAACAATTTGGTCTTCTTAGACATCCCTTTTGTACCAGAATACAGTGGTGGGAGACATGAATGGATTTGGTAATTCTGTGTTGTTAATTAATATAAAGTCTATTGATACTATTCATTAAATTATATATTATTATAAATAATATAAAATGCTTTTTATTTAAAATATACTATTAATTTATTATAAATATATTATATTTATAATATATCATTAATTTATAGTAAATATAGTATATTTATAATATACTATTAATCTATTATAAATGTATTATATTAAATATAATAGAGTATGATATTATAAAATATGATATATTTATTATAAATAAGTATTAAACAACAAACCGCTGTAATAAAAGGGGCCATAGTAAAAAAGTCTAATACGCCCGAAGGCCACCACTTTCCATTGAAAGTGGGCACATTATTAGTCCCATCGCCATTGGAACTTTTATTGTTTGAACCGTAATAAATTGCTTTTGCAAAGATAACAAAAGACACGGTGACTGCGCCGACTATACTTAACATAGAAATTCGATTTAAAAATTTGACGGATTTTGGGATGATTAAGGGGAGGTTGAGAAGCAAAGCGACTAAATATAAGATGATGTAATGCCACTTGCAATAGACCCCCGCTGTTTTCCCTTCGTAACAGGTATCTAGCGTATATTCAAAATTTTCTCTGGAGGTCAAATCGGTCACTATCCCAAATAAATATTGTGTGATGATCACTTGGTATATCATTAACACACAAAAATAAAATAAAGTGTTACAAAGATCAACGACTATAGCTATAACGTTCCCAAAGAAAATACTCAGTAATTCCCCCATTGTAGCCGCTCCAGTTATATAAATAGCTTTATTATAGAAATACCACGTAATTATAAAGTAAAAGATCGTCGCAATATTCCACAGAAAGAACCCAACTATCCCCATCTTATAACACGTCTGAGAAAGAGATAAGATACCAGCTCCAATCAATGAATTTGTTAATGAAAAGCCAAGTAACAGGGCATTCCACAAGATCTTCGACCACGTTTTCGGCGTCCGTTGAACACGACCAACATCACTCACTTTATACTCCGTGTCTTGAAGCAATAACTCTTGGAAATTGCGCGCTATAACATCCTCTACGGTAAACCCTTTCTTCGCCTTTTTCAATTTCTTGGCTCGTTTGATGGTGTCGGGATGGGTTTTGTCGTGTACAATTGGAGTAATAGTGGACTCTTTGGTATCCTTGTCTTCGGCCGAGTGCCCATTTGAATGGTCGTCGTTCTGGTCATCCTCTCTCTTTCTCACTTTGTTTGGGAGATTTCCTTTATATACTATATCATCACAACTCTCACGAATCACTTCATTCTCAATCTCGTTCATTTTGTCATCTTGAGATGTTCGGATTGTGGTTTCTATATCAATGTCTAAATCAACATTTTCAACTTCAGAGATGTAATCATGAATTCCATCCTCAAAATCTCGCTCGGGATATGCCTCAAACTCTCCTTTCTCAAGGGTACGAGATAGCGTGTCGTCATCTAATTTGCTTCTAATCACCGCTTTAGTCATAAAATGAGTTGTTTGTGATAAGAAGTTTGAGAAGATGATTTATTTGGCCAGAACGAATTCCCCAAATCAACAATTGTTTTGATGTTTAAGATAAGAATTTTCGATCTATTCAAAGTTGTTCTCAATTGACTTGTTTGATGGTAATAAAGACATTATATTATAAGATGTGTTGGTTACTTTTTTCTTATCAAAATTATTGATTATTATTGAGGATTTTAGTATAAAAAATCAGGTTTTTTAATTAAAAAACTGTGAAGACAATTACTGAAATAATTTAGAAAAAAAATAATACTGATTATATTATTTAATTAAAAATAAAGTTAATTTTTAATTGATTTTTATAATAATATTTACTTCAAACAAATTTTTTAAAAAGTTAAGTTCGTATTAAAACAAATTTGGATAATGAATGTTTTATTTTTTTATTCATTTCGATGTTTTATGGAACTGAATCAAAAACATTCAAACGTTATAAAACATTCCAAAAACAACAAAAAATTCACCACAAAGATTTTAATTGACTAAAAAAGTCCTAAAATAGTAAAATACTTTCCATTTTTTATAATTCGTAATAATAAAACCACATAAAATTAGTAAATCTAAAATTTCTATTATTTATCCTTTATAATTAAATGATAATTAAATTGCTATAAATTATAGTTTTAATAATTAAACCTTAATATAATAAGATGGTCAAAAAGAGAAAATAATTATAACAATGTTATAATTAGTTTTATTAATAAAAAAATAATAATAAATTAATTATACTTCTTAAAACATTATTTATAAAAAGTTATAAAAAACCACAATAATTATAATAATATTTTTAAATTTTTTATTAGAAAAACAAAACGTAAAACGATTTTTTTTAAAACATGAAAAAATTGGTTTTGACTTTTTTTAATATGAAAAATTATAATTTTTAAAATTATAAAAAGATTACAATATTCCGGGGCAGGCTTTTCCCACCCTCACCCCATCTTTTTTTAGAACAATTAAAAATGTGATATATAACATTTTCAACAATTTATATTTTTTTTAAAAAATAAAGAAATCACGAATTCAAATTCACATAATAATATAATATAAATTATTTTTAAGGGTTAAAATTTCAAACTGAAAAATTAATACATGATTCCTTTAATCAAACATGAAATAAGAGGTGTTGAAGGTATTGACACACCACCACAAATTATTGATAATATTTGCAAAACAAAATTTGTGATTAACACTGTCACTGAACAAATGAAGGAGTCATCTCTCATCAGCGCCGGTGGTGTTCAATATTCTTTGTTTAAAGCAAAACACACTGATGTCAACAAACATATTCAATACTTTGGGTGTTATTCAACAAAGTGTAAGTGTTCTGTCAATATCAAATTTTAAAAAGACAATAAAATTGCATGTGAAATTATTTTTATTGGAAAACACAACCATAATTTTGAATTCCTTCCAGATAATATTCAGTATACTTTTACAAAAGAACAAATTGATGAAGTGTATACATACGCCAAAGGTGGAATGAGGCCTGCCCAAATTTGTTCACAAATGGGACTTTCAGTTAACACTAAACGTATCAGAAAAATTACTCGAGATGTTTACGATATTAGAAACACCGAAGAAGCCAAAAAATTGACCATTTATTGTGATGATGATTTGAATGATTTTTCCACTCGTATAATTAAAAATTCAAGTGGACAATTTGAAGCATGCTTTATACTTAACACAAAACATGTTAATCATACACCAGAAATAATATATATCGATGACACTGCTACAACCAATCATTTTAATTTTCCACTTGTTGTTGGAAATTTCTCGGATCAATGGAACAACACCCATATTTTATTTTTCGCTATAATGAGAAATAGAATTACATCTTCATTTGTTGACCTTTTTAATTTTTTGAAAAACAAAAAAATTGTTTTTAAAATTGTTTTTTGTGATCGTTGTATTTCACAAATGAAAGCAATCAAGATTGTTTTCCCATTCTCTAAATTGTTTCACTGTGTTCGACATATACACAGAGATCTCCAAATATCATTCGGAAAGACGTCTCCAATTGTTTCTGATTTTGATGAAATGATTCATGGAAAAATAACCGAAGTCGACTTTATAAATAGATTAATTTATATGAGTGGATACAATTTAACCGATGCTCAGAAGGAAGAAGCACAACAAATGTTTGAAGAGTCAAAAGAACTTGGAGGTGACCTTACAAATGATGAAGCGGTGTTTTATTTGGAAACTTTGGAAGAAATCAAAGAACTGAGAAAGACTGAAAAAATAGTTAAAATAACAAAAAGTGATAAAATCCAAGTTATTACAAATTTAATCGAGCAAAGAGATTCTTGGCTTCCTTCAGTTGTTTTGATGAACACACAGACACAAACTACAAACAGAATAGAAGGGTATTTTGGAAATTTCAAACAAAAAATGGGAAATAAGATTGCTTCACTCGTTGAAATAGCCACGACAATTGTCACTGATAGCAGAAGGTTCGACTTGAATGGAAGACAAGATTTGATACTTGATACACAAACTGCAGAATTGTTAATTCCGCCAAACATACTTCCTTTATTCCCCGCTATAGTAGTGAATAAAATGTGTAAATTATATAGAAACATCAACACAATAGTAGCTCCACCATTGAATGGAGATTGCTCCGAATCAAGATGTTGTTGTACCATTTTTAATATTGACCGCATTCCGTGCATTCACATGATTAAATACTGTTCAGAAAGATCAATATATCCTATTCCAACTACTGCCTTTGCGAGAGATATTCTTATTGATAGTTCTTATAAAAACACTACTCATGAAAAGGTTATCAAAAAAGACGACAAAGAACAACAACCAACGAGTCACAATGATATTCATAATAACTTGGATGAAGTTGTTCCATTGATTAAAAGAAATGAATTTGTGAGAAACAGGTTTTATTCTTTTATTGGACATTGCCAAGAACAACCAACGACGAAAGAAATAAGTCAACAATCGACAAATGAAACACACGATACGACTTTGGAAACCATAACAACAACTGTTGCGTCTAGAGTTTCAAGTGTTTCAAGACAAAGTTCTTTTAGTACTAATTTAAAAGACCCACGCAGACAGCAATATACAGGAATTTGTCCAAGGAAAATGGTAGATTGTGTGGAAAATGTAACACCTTAAAAAAACCAAGACGCCAAGATAAAGAATCGAAAGTAGCTCACGTGAGAACATGTAGTGTTTGTAAAATGGTGGGTCACAATAAACAAAATTGTCCTTCAAAAAAAAATATAGAAGATTGAACTTATGATATATAGTAGTTCAACTAAAATTGGTTATGGAATTGAATTTCAATTTATTATAATCGATTTCATTTGTTGCGTTTCATAAGGTATATGTTATTTTTCAGTTTATACAAAAATAAAAAAGTATTGTATAAAATCAAAGTAAAAATGTATTGATAAATTGAATTGTCAATAAGTATAAATCACATTTTTAAAAAAATATAAATTGTTGAAAATGTTATATATCACATTTTTAATTGTTCTAAAAAAAGATGGGGTGAGGGTGGGAAAAGCCTGCCCCCAATATTCCACATAATTATAATCTATCGTTTTTTTTGAAACTATAACAAATAATAATTATAGCTATATTATTAATTTATTTGAATAATAATACTTTTAAAAAATAAATAATTATATGACAAAAAATAAATTTGTTTTTAACGAACAATTATACAGCGATTATTAAAAAAAAATTTAAATACAATTTTTTAAAGAAAAAACTCGTTTAGAAAATTTATCAATAAATATTTTTTGTAAAATTAAGTTTATTTTTAAATACATTTTTACAATGAATAAAAATTTCCGTCGTTTTTTCTTAAAGTTAACCAATTTTTGTTAAAAAACTGATATAACTTAAACAATATAGTTTATTTTAAATTTTTTTATAAGAAATTATAATATAACAATCATTTGACAAAATGAGAGAGTGTCGGAACGATAATCACAAGAGACTATAAAAGAACAGAAAATGGCCGATTCCTCAGAACCCCCGACGTCGACAAGTGTCCCTCCAACACTCACGCCGACTGAAGCGCCGACTGCTGAAGAGCTCCATAAGGCACTCCTGCCAAAAACGCTTTGA